CAAGCAAGGCAAGGCAAGGGGCAAGGCAAGGCAAAGGCAAGGCAAGGCAAGCAAGGCAAGGCAAGGCAAGGCAAGGCAAGGCAAGGCAAGGCAAGGCAAGGCAAGGCAAGGCAAGGCAAGGCAAGGCAAGGCAAGGCAAGGCAAGGCAAGGCAAGGCAAGGCAAGGCAAGGCAAGGCAAGGCAAGGCAAGCAAGGCAAGGCAAGGGGCAAGGCAAGGCGCTTTACAAAAAATGAAAGAGATTAAGAAAATGGCATTTAAAATCAGTCATTAAAAAGAAAAGCTAATAAAATAAAACATTAAAAGAAAAAATACATGGATAAAAGTTACAGTGCAATTAAACATTAAAAGAAAAAAGTAATGGATAAAAGTTACAGTGCAGTCTAAGATATGAATAGTTCAATTAAAAGCAGCGACAAAAAGAAAAGTCTTCAGCCTGGATTTAAAAGTAGTAAGAGTTGCAGCGGACCTGCAGGTTTCTGGGAGTTGGTTCCAGATATTTGGAGCATAATAACTGAATGCTGCTTTACCATGTTTAGTTCTGACTCTGGGGACAGAAAGCTGACCAGTCCCTGAAGACCTGAGAGATCTGGATGGTTCATAATTTAGCAGGAGGTCAGAAATGTATTTTGGGCCTAAACCATTCAGTGCTTTATAAACCAGCAGCAGTATTTTGAAATCTATTCTTTGACACACAGGAAGCCAGTGTAAAGACTTCAGAACTGGAGTGATGTGATCCACTTTCTTAGTGTTAGTGAGGACTCAAGCAGCAGCGTTCTGAATTAGCTGCAGCTTCCTAATAGATTTTTTAGTGAGACCTGTGAAGACACCATTGCAGTAGTCGAGTCTACTGAAGATAAAAGCATGGACAAGTTTTTCCAAATCCTGCTGTGACATTAGTCTTTTAATCCTAGATATATTCTTTAGGTGATAGTAGGCTGATTTAGTAACAGTTTTAATGTGACTGTTGAAACTCAGGTCAGAGTCCATGACTACACCTAGATTTCTGGCTTTATCTGTTGTTTTGATAAGTACATTCGACCAGGAAGACACAACCTTGAAGAAAACAGAATCATATAAGTACATCAGGTTTCATAGAGCCAAACATTTCAAGTGCTACTCAACTGGCTTTAGGTAAGCCAGCCCTTTATATATACACAACTATGAAGGTAAGAAGGTAACCGGTACTAACCAGCTAGCTTATGCTCCGGGTTACGCTAACATTAGCTGTCAAAAGCTAGGTAACGTCAGAGCCCTATAGTATAACTACTATTATTATTATTATTATTATTATTATTATTATACTACTACTATAGTAGACTACTATAGGGCTCTGGGTAACGCTATGTACTGTTTCTGGTGTTAATTCTTTAAAACATTAGCCATTTTGCTAACAAATACTATCGTTTAATAGCCTTATAGCCTAGCCAAGGTTGTCTTGTTGTTAGCCACACTGCATAATGGTATCAGCTTTTGTAAAGCAATGTTGCCATAGATGTTTTGACATGAGTATAGATCTAACGCTGTTGCTCTGTTTTTCTTCATTCAGTGTCCAATAAAGACAGGCTGACAGGGCAGGTCAGCGTGAGAGCCTTGTGCTACAGGTCAATGCGGAAGAGCGAGACAGCACACAGTTTGAGTGTAGGCAGGCAGCATTGACACTGTTCCCCCCTGTTTATTGAGTTTCAGTTCAGTTAAACATTAGTTTACCTTAAGGGAATCTCAACAGTGTCCTACTTCTCCCTGCTTTATCACAGCTGATTGGTCAGATATTATTACATTGATTATGGATGTGTAAGTTTGGGGGTTCAAATATATAGTCAAAACTGCTTTAATACAATTTTCAAGGCATCTTAGTTTCCAAAGAAAGTTCATTGTGGTATTGTAGGGTAAGAGGGTAACACTAAGCATTCAGGAATACATGCTTCTTCTAGGATAATGGGTCAGTAAAAATAACCAATAATTCTACTCATAATAACCTCCTGGCTAGTAACAAGTGAGGTTACTAATCACTAGTATTTCTTCTCTCTTTTTTAGATAACGCTTCGTGATTCATCACCAGTGGTGCTCACGCACAACCAGTGCTCCTGTGTTGCAGGAACTGTTTTGTGCAATCACACAGTAGCATTGCTGTTCCAAACAGCACACTACACTGAACTGAACATGCCAGTTGTGCCACCTGTGCATAGCTGTACTGAATCGGAACAGCAATGGCACAAACCGCGAACAATGATAATTTCAATGAGGTTCAAATACTTGTAATCTTTCACAGAGTTTTTGTTTTAAAGTGACTCAACAAACAGTAATTGTCTTTTCCTTAAGGGTGTGAAGCCAGGGCCCATCAACTCCATGGTCTTCACCAAGCCTGTACCAAATAGGATGGTGCAGACTGGAGTAAGGTCATTTTAGCTGGAAAATTGTGTTTCCTGTGTTTTTAGAATTCATAATTCTGGTGCTGTATTCCTAACCTTTATTGTCACATTAATGTGCTATATTGTCTTTGCCATTCTTTGTAGGAGTGGATTCTACAGAGGCATGGTGGGGCCATTACCAGATCCCTGCCTGTTCAGAGTTACGGAGGCATAATCAGCATTCAGCATTGAAGACAGGCCGCTTGTGACCACAATGAACATGAGACCTGACAAGCCCCTTGTGGAAAGTGCCTTCGGGATTGTGCAGGAGGGCAGTGTTCTGTCCTATCAGAGGCCTGCTTTGACGTCTCGGTACACCACACTTCACACTGACACACCACCAACACCCCACTTGCCCATAGAGGGGTATGTGATCTTGCCATGTGATTTACCGCTGGTGTGCTCAGAAGAGGAGCAACTACATATGAACAGCTTATCTGTTGATTTGGAAATGTCTCACAAAATTGAGGAGGCTACCCGTGAGCAAATCTCTAGCTCAGAGTGGCATCTGCTCCGCAAACCCAGGGTTACTGCCTCTAGGTTTAGAGAGATTTGTCACGTCAGAGGTGAGAGCTCTGCTAACTCTCTTGCAGAGCGAATACTCAAAGGTACAAGGCAGACTGCAGAAATGAGGAGAGGTGCCGAGATGGAGCCCACAGTAGCAGCTGAATACAGTAGACTGGCAAACGTGAACTACTCCCCTTGTGGCCTTGTCATTCACCCCTCTACGCCCTGGCTTGGTGCCTCCCCTGATGGAGTTGTTTTTGACCCAACAGAATATCCCCAATTTGGCCTTGTTGAATTCAAATGTCCCAATGTCCCAAATTATGTCGACTGCAAATATGTGCAGATGGAATGTGGCTCCCCTAAGCTCAAGAAAAGCCATGCCTATTACTGGCAAGTACAGGGTCAACTTCTTGTATCTGGGATGCAGTGGTGTGATTTTGTAGTGTGTGCACAAGAGGACTACCTGGTGCAAAGAATATACACAGATCCAGAAGTGCAAAGAGCAATCAGAGAAAAAGTAGACTTTTTTTTTTTTTTACACATACATGCCGAAGTACCTGTCATTAAAAAAGTAGTGGGCACTGTAGCCATTGTTAACTCTGTAAGCAGTTAGCTGCTAGACCCTGGCTCAGCCGTCATTGTTTTTAGGAGTCAATCATGTGTTCTGAATGACAACAAAATGTGATTTCAATATTTTGTTTTTGATATATATTGTTTGTCACATTTCATATATGTAAATAAATATACAATTGTATTTAAAAATACAATAAAGTGAAGTGATTTTTTTGTAAAGAATAGTAAATCATTGCATTTATAAGAAATCATCAACGCATTGTAATTTGCTATTTACCATTTATTCAAACAAAACACTAGCGTGTGTCAGGCAACACGGGATTACGGTGTGCTCACCCAGCTTAATCACAGCTACCTGCACAGGTGTCATCATCTTGTCTTATTTCACCCATTTCTTGACCAGTGCTTTGTTCTGATAGTTTGACAGCATACATGCTACTGCAAACAGTTGGTTGATGTTGTAGGCATGGGACAGGAGGATGACACCATCAAAAAGTTTGTTCTCTTTTATCCTCCTAATGACACGCTCCACATGAACCCTCAGTCTGGCAATGGCCTGTGTCTCCCTCACCTGATAGGCTGGCATTTGCTTCTGCTTTGACAGAAAAGGTGGGCAGTACACCTTGCATTTGCAGCAATCGCTGATCAGGAAGCCCTTATCTACCATCACTGCCATGTTTTCAGTCAACAACGCAGCTATTCCAGATTGTTTGAAAATCTCCTTGTCGCTGACAGAACCACCATACAGACTGGAAACAAATGTCACTGCGCCATGTGGGGCTATGCCAACCAGGGCTTTCATGGTGCAGTGAGATTTGTATGTAGAATACATTTCACTTTGGAGGAGGAGTGAGGATGGTGTTTGACACCTCAGCTCTGTGCAATCCAGGATCACCTGTGTGTCTGGGAAATCTTTGAATGCCTCTGGGAGGTGGGCTTGAACTTCTGCAGGTGTAAGCCAGATGCACTGTGACCCCAATAAAGTTGTAAGAAAACTCGTCCATGTTGCAATGATGCGGCTCACAGTGGACTGGTGTACGTTGAAGCGGTTTGCAAGGTCCCTCTCTTTCAAACCCACCGACAGGAAGCAGAGAAAAAGGAAGAACTCGTCAATTGGCTGAAGCAGCTGTCTCTGGAAGATAAACAAAAAAAGGGTACTATATTAATGTCATGAGTGTAGCACACCATGGGAAAAACATTAAGTTGTTTTAGTTCTCTGATGTATTCAAAAAGGATTGAGTACTATAGCCTTTTAGCCTACACGAAAGCAATGAAATGTTGGAGAAACATTTTCCCTTCAGTTTGTGTTTAGATTGTGTGTTAAAAGAAACGTAGCCTACCGTTGATGGACGTGCGTGTGTAACCACTTCTTCATTCCTCTTGGCAGCTGATATCGCTCTTGTAACACGAACCATTTTATAAATGGAAGGCTCAATCAAAAACCAGAAGGCCATCAGGTGGTTATAGCTCGGGAATCTGTACACAAAAGACACATGTCAGTCATTAATTGACTCGTTAACTGTAACACATGGGCTAATGCTTTCCTCTTGTTTGCTATAATACATTACAATTCAAATAGACTGATTAAGAAGGCACTTGGTGCAGGTATAGTAATATACAGCAGTAACATGTAACAACTACATTAAAGCAGCAGTAATAATAATCTAAAACATACAGGGAACATTTTACACAGAATGACTACTTTTACTCTTCATTCTTAAGTGTGCAACTGGGGGAAACGCAGTGGATATTGACATGTACTTTTACTTTGGTAAGGTTTTGAAGATTTCCACTTGTAGTAAAGTATTATCAGTATGTTGTTAGTATTAGTATGTTTTACTCCACCACATTTAGTTACTTATGAAAACACATGATTTATGATTTTACATGTTCAGTTCAGGAGTATTTTCAAACCATAGTATTTGTACTTATACTTCAGTTAAGTTGAGTAGCCTACTTATTCCAACACTGCATGCAAATAGTCAGCAGTCAAACGGCAGGTAAACAGGATTCTTTATAAGCTAACCCATCTCAAAAACTTGGATAGAATTTAGCCAAAACATTACCTGGTATAGAATCGGATGTTGTCGTCGGAGCCAGCAAACCGCTGTAAGCAAAACTCTCGCTGGACTCTTAACTCCTGCAGTTGCTTCTGCAGATCCTCCAATGTTTTGGAGTTGTCTTCTGTAGCTTGAGAGGACATGTCCAGTGAAGCTGGTTCAGGGGTTGAGCAGTAATCATGGTCACGGACATCGATGTGCTCTTCCTGCTCCTGAGAGACTGGTTCAGTGGGCCGCTCCCTTCTCTCCCAAACACTAGCCCGCGGTGTTTGAGCAGTGAAGTGATTCCACTCAAACAGAGTTGGTACAGCACCTTTCACAAGCCTCCTATGGCCATTAAGGATTTTTGGCTCTATTAGTTGATCTGTAGCGAAGTGACGACTGCAGACATTGGAGTGAGAGGAGATTGTAAAGTTATCGCGTCGTATTTTAACCAGCCACTGTCTTCGCAGCTCGAGTTCGGTCGGAAAGCCATGGAAACTTAGGACGCCGTTGAATTTAGCTGACGCCGTACAAAGTGGGACACAGCAGTGCTCGGAGTAGTTCTTTACTTGTCTTTGCAAATGCTCCGTTTTGAAAATCTTCCGTCGACTCATATTTAAACCACAGATTTAAACAGTAAAACATTTGTGGACGCTCAGCTACGCAGACCAGAAGCAAACCGGAAGCTTCCGAGCCGTATTACGGCTAAGGCGGAAGTACGTCTCAGACCCTAGTGCATGTAGCCTATTGACCATTGAATTACAACAACATTGTGTTTTATGGCGAGGGATGTGTTGCCTTGGAAACGGCATATGATGACATCCCATAATTGGCGTAGAGCTGTTGAGGGCCGGACCATTAGCCATCATCTGAAATCTGGTGCCGTTTGGACCATTTTCATAGGAGTAACAGCGACACCGTGTTTCATGGCGAGGGATATATATATAGGGCCTGACCATTAATGATAGTCGGAAATCTGGTGCCGTTTGGACGATTTTCCATTGAGTTAAGGCGAGACACGGCAGGCAAAAACATCGTTTTTCAAGTAGATTCTATAACATGTTTTCTTTCAGGCTTTTGGAAGGAAAATGTACAAAATACACATACAAATGTTTATTTGACTATAGTTTGTCTATTTTCGTCTGTAGATTTCTCCTATTTTCACCAAAAGTTAGCATTCTCACGTAACAAAGTACCGCGACCGCTGTGTGCACCATGTCAACAAAGATATCGTTGGAAAGCTGTGTCTCTCCTGCACAATCTCATCGGATCCAAATATGGTTATTTCCTTTGTATCAGCAACCAATTGTGAAAGTTCAAAGAGGTTTTAAATCAAGAAACAAAATCTCATTGGCTGGTGTCAATTTCTGACAACGTGATTCGTTCAGATGCGTCACGTGGTGTGCTAAAACACTTCCTGGTTAGCTTTCCGCTAGAAATTGAAATCTCAAAATGGCAAAAGAACGGCGAAAAAAACGTTCACAGAGAAGACGACAACAATTGTCACTTGCACGAAGCAAGGTTATACAAAAAACAAATGACCCCGAACATGAAATACCTTCACGGAGTACATCGATGCACAAGCTGTCATCCAAAAAACAGGAGGGTTTAGCTAGCGCCTCACAGCAATCTTTAAAGGTCGTTTTCTCAAAATGAGTTTTTCTCCTACTCTGAGTTGGAAATTTCAACTTCAGTAGCACGTAGATACACCAAACCTTCCAGTTATATTCCTATCAATATTATGAAGGCTTTTACAGAAGGGTTTGTTCATATATCATTCCTAGCCTGAATTATACAACATTGTATACCTAAAAACATGGCGAAAATTGATATTTTAGGGCTGTTGACAGTATTTTCTGATTTATGGAGTGATAAAAAGAGATATCTAATATCCCTTCTGTAAAAGCCTTAGATACTAATATGACTACAAAATTAAACAAGAATTTTGAACCTGGCTTTATCCAAAGTTCAGATTTCGATTCCTGAAATGTGTTAAAATATGCGCATATTTAATGAGATAATGGACAATTTGCATATTTAAACATGCTATTTCAGAAAACTTGTCATACAGAAAACAATTGCCTTATTGTAAGTAATTAACTGGATAAATTTCTAGCTGATACCTTTAAGTTAAAAAAATTACCCTATTCACCTGGGGTGTCTCGCCTTAAGACAACATTGTGTTTTATGGCGAGGGATGCGTTGCCATGGAAACGGCATATGATGACATCCCATAATTGGCGTAGAGTTGTTGAGGGCCGGACCATTAACTGTCAACTGAAGTCTGGTGCCGTTTGGACCATTTTCATAGGAGTAACGGCAACATCGTGTTTTTTGGCAGGGATGCGTTGCCATAACAACGGCACATGATGAAACCCCATAATTGACAGAGCTGTTGAGGGTCGGACCATTCACAATTATCTGAAGTCTGGTGCCGTTTAGACGATTTTCCATTGATTTATGACAACACCGTGTTTCATGGTGAGGGATATGTCGCCATGGCAACGGCATATGATGACATGCCCTAATTGACATAAAGCTGTTGAGGGCCGGACTAATAGCCATCATCTGAAGGCTGGTGCCGTTTGGGGGATTTTCATAGTAGTAACGGCAACTTCCTGTTTTTTGGCGAGGGATTTGTCGCCATGGAAACGGCATATGATGACATCCCATAATTGGTATAGAGCTGTTGAGGGCCGGACCATTAGCCATACATCACTGTAGTCGCTGCGCGACCAATTTCAATAAGGTCTTCGCCGACCTCAGGTCTCAGACCCTAATAATAATACATTACATTTATAAAGCGCTTCTTCAGCAACTTCACTGGCTGCCTGTCAAATAATGTACAGATTATACGAGTCTGCTACTCACCTTTAAGGCTATCCACAACCTCACTCTTTTGTATCTTTCCGACCTCCTGCACATCAACACCCCCCCCCCCCCCTGCACCACCTTTCCGTTTAACCACCATGGGGTCCAGAGCCTTCAGCCACTCTGGACCCTCTGAACTCCCTCCCACCTGACATCCGGACTCTCCCCATTTAAAATGTTTGGCTCAAAACACATCTCTTCACACTGGCATGTCCACCCTGATCACATCACACATCCTCTGTTTTTCTGTTTTATTGATTGATTATATGTCGTGTTTTTTGGTCTTTTGTTTTGTTTCTGTTTTGTGTACCTTGTACGGCGACCTTGAGAGCCTTGAAAGGTACACACAGGTCCGCCTGTGCTTATATAACAAGGGTTACCATACGTAACCCTTCGTTATGACTCCTGAACATGGTATACTCTGTGGAGAGGATAACGCTATATTTCCTGCTTTGTGTAGTTGGCGCATTGACTATATTTTTGAGTGGATGTCACCAGGCCTGCTTTTTTAGCCATCAGGCCAATTTGTTTGCAGATCAGACAGTGTACAGTGAAGTTACAACAACTTCCTGTTTCCTGGCATAGAATGCAACCATGGATCAACATTTCAAAGTTGTAAATGATGCCCGTCCGGAGACTTTACTGACCATGTGGAGGTTAATCTGATCTGTAGCAGTACTTACTAAATGTGTGGCACACATTCTACATATTGGTGTGGATGTCCTCAGGCAGGAATTATAATCAAGCATGTGCAATTTAAAACAGATTTGACAGTCTTTTAATTTAACATCCGGAGTTTAGATCTCTTTCCAATATTAATCTCAATGGTTCAGTTTCCTCACAAAGTGTTTCCCATTATCTAAAAGACTGATTGTGCACTCCAAAGCAAATCAAGGTACAGTATGATAATTGCTTGTTCTCCTTTTTATTTAATACCACCCAAGACTCTTTATGCAGCTCTTTGTAAATACCTCCAGAACTCCCCCTTGTCCTAAATCCTCTTTAAGAACTTGGAGGAAATGCCTGCTCTATAATAACAACGTACCTTTTGAATATTAATTCCTGCCAATGTTTTATTCGCTATTCAAAAGAATGGGTTTAAAAAGTGAGACATATTCTCTTATATTGAGAGATATTTAGCCAATAAGCGTTTATCCACGTTTTCTAGATTACTCCAAGATTGGGTTGTTAATAATGCTTGGTATCATTTTATGTGACAATGCCTCTCAGCTCCAAGGGGGCAGCCATTTCTCTCTGATTTATTCTTTGTGATGCTGCCCTTTAACCTTGACCCCCCCTGCATTTATCAGCCCTGGAAAAAATGTAAAGACCACTGCAGCATTATCAGTTTCTCTGGTTTGACTATTTATAGGTATGTGTTGAGTAAAATGAACATTTCTTTTATTTTATTCTATAAACTACTGACAATATTTCTCTGTGTTGCAATTCAACAGACGCTGGAATGGAATGGCTGCCATATATGTAGGTTGAGATTTAAGAACAATTTAGAGTGGTCTACATTAAAGAAACTGCAAAATAAATGTGTTTATATTTATTCTTATTGTTTGTGTTTTAATATAAGACAACAGTCAGTGATGGAGAGACGGGGATGATGTGATAAAATAACAGTTATTCATCACTGTTATTACAATTGTGACATATTCTGTCACAATTACCTCTAATGCTTCTTGCTCAGGGAATGATTTGTTTACTTCAGACTCGTAATGAGCTGCATGCAATTCCACATTTGCAGCCAATTGATCTGCAGCCGTGTAGCTAGGCAGTGGTATAATCCTCTTCTCTAATTTGACATTGATGGCTTCATTATTCATGCAAAGGGAAATTGTTCTAGTTGGCTCAAAGGTAAGATGAATTGGACGCAACCGATACGGGACATCTAGATTTTGAATTGCATTTAATACTGATACAGTAATAGAATGATTACAATTTTCTCTCAGATAAAATCATTTAACATGCCACAAAGTAAAATAGCTGCATGTCATTAAAGCAGTGAAGCTCGGATGGACTGCATCTTAACCCATTAAGCTTCTACAAGCTACAAAGTGTTTGCATCTGTGCCACTTTTTACACCAGTAAAATAATAGAATTGTGAATAAAATACACTGAATCAGGAGAATATACACTTAAAAAATGTAATGGCTCAAGTGTTAAGAAATAAATAACTGATACACCTTTGTTTTCATGGAACAGTCTTTTGTTCTTCTTCTGGCACGCTGTAAGATGTTGGTCCACCACTCTTCATTGGATTTTGATTAAAAAAATGTTGTGACATACCCAAGAGGCTGTTCATGTAAAAATAAGTAATTTAATAAATACTAATACATGTACAAATAA